TTGTTCTTTCAATCAAGTACAGTGTAAGAACTGGCAGGCATCCATAGCTTCTATTCTTTAACATGCACATAATTCTATTCCTTGGTTAAGATATTGACTCCATTATTATACTTACTTCTTCTGGTATAGCAAGGTTTGAACTGAGGAACATAGCTACTTCATACATAATAAATTATTTGTCTCTACAAACATTTTTACCTTGATTTTGTTAGTCACATGACTTTCTAACAGTGATCTTTGAAGTATATAGTGGTATGGTAAAAGTATGGTAAAAGAATACCATAAATATTGGAAACTAAATATGTTTGGGTTTTTTGGAGTTTTTTATTTTAGAGAAAGAGAGAGCATGAGTGGGTGGGGGGGAGAGAGAATCTTAAGCAGGCCCCACACTTATCACAGAACCCAATGCAAGACTCAGTCCCACGACCCTGGGATCATGACCCAAACTAAAATCAAGAGTAGGACAGTAGGGGCACCTGGGTGTCTCAGTCAGTTGGGCATCCGACTTCAGCTCAGGTCATGATCTCACAGTTAGTGCCCATGTCGGACTCTGTGCTGACAGCTCAGAGCCTGGAGCTTGTTGTGGATTCTGTGTCTCCCTCTCTCTCTGTCCCTCCCCCGCTCACGCTCTCTCTCTCTCTCTCTCAAAATAAGTAAACATTAAAAGAAAAAGAGTGGGACCCTCAACCAACTGAGTCACCCAGGTGCCCCAGAAATTAAATTTATTGAATGAAATTTAGATTTTATAAAATTCAGGATGACTTTGTTACTATATCAGGATCATTTTTTTTAAATTTTTTTTAACGTTTATTTTATTTTTGAGACAGAGAGAGACAGAGCATGAACGGGGGAGGGGCAGAGAGAGAGGGAGACACAGAATTGGAAGCAGGCTCCAGGCTCTGAGCCATCAGCCCAGAGCCTGACGCGGGGCTCGAACTCACGGACCGTGAGATCGTGACCTGAGCTGAAGTCGGACGCTTAACCGACTGAGCCACCCAGGCACCCCTATCAGGATCATTTTTTAATAAAAAAGTTGTTTGAGCTACCTTTACTTATTTGATTTAATATCCCATGTGGGTCTTAATAAGTTGACATTTAGTTTGAAAAGAAATTTTGGCCAAGTTGTGGCTGTAAGATAAAACATATATTAGATTAACTCTTAATGATTATACCCTAAAAGGATTGTAGAAACTAACATTGAGAGCCATTTATAATGCATAACATAAGATGCGTAACATTAGATGTCTGTTGAAATGTTCTAGATGTTTAAAGTACAGCGCCATTTTTTCCCTATATATGATAAGAGAAAAAAAGCTATAACTTGGGGGGAATAGAATGGAAAAGAGAGAAAAGGGATGGGGAGAGCTGAGGTGGCTGAGGTATATTAGTTTCAAGGGGCTGCTATCATATAACAAAGTAGTACAAGCTGGATGGCTTCAAACAAAAGAAATTGATTCTCTCATGGTTCTTGTTGGTTTGAAGTTCTAAAATCAAGATGTCGGCATGGTTGTGCTCTCTCTGAAGGCTCTGGGTGAGGATCCTTCCTTGCTTCTTGCTGCTTCTAGTAGTTGTCCTCAGTCCTTATGTTGTAGATCTGTCACTCCAGTCTCAACCTCTGTTGTCACGTGGCATTCTCCCTGTGTATATCTCTGTCCACATTTCCTTCTTCTTAAAGGACACCCGTCATATTGGATTTAGGTTGAGGGCCCATTTACAGATATAGGATGGATATAAACTGGGGGGGAGGGGATGCTATTCAACCCAGTTCAAAGGGTTCTAAATTCAATTTAAATTTTGAGATAAGCCAACACACTAGATTTATCTGCCTTATACAAAGCAAACAGGTAAGATACATTTTACGTAAAAATTTTTTATTTGCAATTTTATTCACTTACATGCTTTCCCATTGTGTAGGCCCACGCCTAGGTATCTAGCATTTTCCCTTCATGTGATAGAAATTACATTAAAGGAATATTTTGTTATGAAACCTCTGTTTATATAGATGTGGAGCCAGAAGACTTTCCACATTACCTCTTAATAGCTCAATATTTATAGAACCAAGCTAGACTTTTTTTTTTGAACACTTTAACTTCTATTAGAATAATAATTTTGGGGTGCCTGGGCGGCTCAGTCAGTGAGGCATCTGACTTCAGCTCAGGAGGTCATGATCTCACAGTACATGAGTTTGTCAGCTCAGAGGGTCATGATCTCACAGTCCAGGAGTTCGAGCCCTGCATCAGGCTCTGTGCTGACAGCTCAGAGCCTAAAGCATGCTTCAGATTCTGTGTCTCCCTCTCTCTCTGCCCCTCCCCTGCTCATGGTTTCTCTCTCTCTCTGTCTCTGTCTCTGTCTCTGTCTCTATCTCAAAAATAAATTAAAAAACATTTTTAAAAATTAAAAAAAAGAATAATACTTTTATTCTTTTTATTTTATACCCACGACATCTAACAGCTCCTGGTGCTGATTTATTGAATGAATAATGCATTAATGAAAGAATGGGGTATGCGTGTGTGTGTGTGTGTGTGTGTGTGTGTGTGTGTGCCTGTCTGTCTCTCTGTCTGTCTCTGTCTATGTTGAAGGGTTGTCAGCAAAGGCATGATAGAATGAATTTTTATTTAGCAAACATATTTCCCTCTATCCTTTTTAAAACCCAACTGGTGGCATCCTTGACACACTGGTCTGAATTTCGTTGTTATTACTTTTAGTATATCATTTCATATTGGTATCCAGATGCTATGATTCATAATATTCCTTTGCATAGATATATAATAATTTACGCTCCCTTTTTAGTTTTAATTGTGAAAGATACAGAACATGAAATTTACCATCTTAACCATTTTTAAGTATATACTTTGGCATTGTTAAGTATATTCACATTATTGTGTAGTCAATCTCCAGAACTTTTTTATCTTGCAAAACTGAAACTCTACTATTGAACAACACCATTCCATTTCCGCCTCCTGGAAACCATCATTTTTTTCAATTTCTATGAATTTGAGTTAGTCTCTCTTTTGAATCGTTATCCTCTTTGCTCTTACAAACAAGGCTGCAGTAACTAGCTTTGCATATGTGTCATTCTGCACATAAATAAGTATATCTGCAAGATGAATTCCTAGAAGTAGAATTTCTGGGTAAAAAGATTTTTGCATTTCTCAGTTTTGATATATATTGCCAAATTGACTTCCCAAACTGTTGTACCAATTCAGACTCCCTACAGCAATGTACGATAGAGCAGCTGTTTAAATGTGTTTGAGTAGTTAGCATGTCAGCTGAGCTGAATTGGGAACTTGGGAAAGGAAAGGCCGCTCGGTAAGAAAGTTGGTGCTACTGCATTTTTCAAGGGGCTGGGCTCTCTCCCAGTATTCTGTCTCTATTCTTTAAGGATTATTTGATGTACTTTAGTGTAGTTTTATCCTGCATTTACTTAAAAAATTTTAAATAAAAATTTTTCCCACATAGTATATAGGCTATTTGAGTGTTGGTAATAAAATAGATTTGAATCTGATATAATGATTAGAATACCTCACTTTGCAAGGAGGTCCTACAACTTAATACTATATGTTTAGCTCGGCTGAAAATTTCCTTAATACAAAATTCGAAGGTCTTTAAAATCAATGAATAGATGGGTTTTAACAGAAAGGAAAATCAACAGACTGCTTTTCTGAAATGCATTCTTTTTAAAAAAATTCTTTATTTTGTGTGAGAGAGAGACAGAATGAGTGGCGGAGGGGCAGAGAGACAAGAGACAGAGAGAGAGAGAGAGAGAGAGAGAGAGAGAGAGAGAGAATCCCAAGCAGGCTGTGTGCTGTGCTGTCGATGCAGGCCTCGATCCCACGATCTTAGGATCTGAGCCAAAATCAAGAGTTGGCCACTTTGCCAACCAAGCCACCCATGTGCCCCTCAGACGAACTCTTACGAGGAGCTCCGCTATGTTGGGGTGACAATGAAGGGTGACTGGAGAAGGAAGAAGGCTGGGGGAGGCAGAGCCGGTGGGCTCCACATCTCCTCAAGCCTAGTTCATCCAAATTATTACACACGGGTGGCTTGAGTTCTTTACTTTTAGCAGTGCGTGAGGTTAGTGAGTACTAATGTGTAACCAGCCTCTCGTAATTCATGTCAGACGTTTGAGGAGCCCTAGAAGCTTTGTCTCGTAGAATCCTGATGTGTGAAACTGATGCTCAATTATATTATTTCTCTGAAGTAAATTTACTGTAAAATGAGGCATATTAAAGCAGTTTCCTGCATGGAGATACCACTGTTTTCCTCAGAGTGTATGTATAGGTTTTAGTACAATGACTTTTCATCTGGAGATTTTAAACATTAGTTTTCTTATATTCAAATGAAACTATTTGCATATATTTGTGATGTTTTCACATTTTATTATAAAGTAGAAATACACTTTATTATGCAGTATATTTGAAGGGTTCTGGAGACCTTCTCCCAATCATGATCAACATCAGTGGTTTGGAATTCATTCCCTCAGAATTTTTTAACGTATAAAATAATATTTAAATTTTATTCCTTCTTTAAAAAGGTGGAATCATGCTATATATACTGTTTTGTGATTTGCTTTACTTGATAACAGGTCCTTTCTGGGTTAGTGCATAGAGATACATTCTGGTCTTTAAGTGGACGTATACTCTTCTATTATATCATAATTTTGTTATCCGTTCCCCTGTTGGTAAACATTGGAGTTCCAATAAGTATCCCTTATGCATTTATCTTTACCTATTTGGACAAATGTTTCTGCAGGATAAATTCTAAGAAGTAGAACTTATATATCAAAGGATGACCATTTTACATCTTAATGGGTATTTTGGTGCTCTATAAAATGTTACATCAATATATCAACATCCTGATATTTATAGGAAATAAACTTAGTTCAGACTTTAAGAAGTTTTAGCGAGGTGATGTGTCATCATTGGTGTACACCAGTTATTCTAATATAAGGTTTTTAGTAATGTAAAACCTTTAAAGTGACAGCTTTTTTATTCTTACAGTGATGGAATGGGGGGATGATATTAAAGCGGTTTCCAAAGATGAAGCAGTAATGTTGGTGAATCATCAGGCAACAGGAGATGTATGCACTCTGATGATGTGCCTCCAAGACAAAGGACTGGTAAGCCATCCTGAATGCAGAGGTGGACGGGAGAAGGGGGAGGTTAACAAAGAATCAATTCAAGTATCTTACTGCGGTTTGGAACATAAACTTTAATATGTATACTTTTTCTGAAAATGGGGAAAATTTTAAAAAGAAAAATATATACAATTCTAAGTAATTCTGACTATAATTAGAATTCTAATCTATAATTCAAAATATTATTCGAACTCCAGGACAGGAATTTGGACACTTTCAAAAAAGTAGCTGGAAAATAATGTGAATGAGCTGTTTTTTTAAAAAATAATTGAGGTAAAAGCAGAGTTAATATGGTTCAAATCGGGGACTGTCTTGAGGTGAAGTGGTGGATCACTGGTTTGAGAAATACACAAAAAGCAGTAGTGTTTAAGAGAGAGGTCCGTGAATTAGATGATCTTGGGGATCTTTAGCCAGAAGGAAAAAAGGTAAATATTTTGGATTTCCTTTACAAAGGAAATTGAACAGAAAGATACTACACCCGTTTTATTAAGTGTTACTAGGCTGTGTGAACTGTTTTACAGTTTACATGACTTATATTAATAAGTCAAGATAAAATATATCCATCAACTGGGTGGGTTTAAAACAAATTCAGTCTTTAGCATTAAAAGAATTATCACCTTAGAAGTTGAAGAGGTTGTGTTACTAGAAAACCAAATAAATGGAAAGTGTATAAATTAATGGAGTTAATATTTATCCTAATAGTAAAGAAGCAAATCAAAGAAGTTTATTAAGTGCTTCATATTCATAATCAGTGACTGCAAGGATAGAACACCATCCTGTAAGACACTATCCTCGTAAAGGAGTGAACAGTCCAACAGAGGAAAGTGTAGCAAAGTGAAGAGTATTCAGTGGAGAGGGTGCTCCCCATGATAGGCATAGAAGACTTTGTAGAGGGGCAAGGACATAAGCGTGGCCTAGTTAGAGTGGTGAAGCAGGGACCTTCTTCCTTAGTGAAATACTCTTGGCCAGAACACCAAGGCAAGACTAAGCCTGGGGTGTTTAGGTCCTAGAGATTTTGACTCAGTAGGTCAGGGAGGGGTCATAAAATGAGGTGAGAGTAAAGGAAAATATGTTTGATTACTGCAGAATCTTTTCTTGTTTATCTGAAAAGCAGAAGCATAATCTCACTGGAATGTGGAATAAATTCAATCCTTTCTTGAACTGTTAATTTTGCTGTATAAATATATTTGCATTTATAATAATATTTATTACTTGTGATATTAAAATTTTGTAAAAACTAGATTATTTGGTCTTGTATGAAAGAGAATCCCCAATTAACAGACATTTTTAATCTTATTGATAGGATCATTACACTCACAGTGATTATTCTGAAGGCTTACAGTGTCCTTGATTGGTTTTTGAATTTCAAAGAATGATTACAGTGGTCAGTATAAATACGCCTAACTTTAGTGCTCTAACCCCAGTTTGGCATGGATGATAACTGTATTAACTAGAATATTAGATAACCTGAAATTCACCAATTGTGTGAACAAAAGAAAATTTAGTTTGTTTGTTTCCTTTTATAAAAAGATTTCTGTTAGTTTGTCTTAGATTCATTTTCCTGTCCAGATTATGATCTGATATTAGTGAGTAGATATTAGTACAATCTTGAGGAATTTTTTTTAATCTTCTTTCATAAAGGGTAATAGAGAAATATAAAGCTGGAAGCATTATAATCTCTCCCTCCTGCGCCTATCAAGTGTAAGGCAATATTAATTTTCATTTACCAGTAAGAATGTTTGCTTGACTTATTGAATATTCCGTGGGTATATTCAAAGAAAGAAGGCTAATGCTAAATTGTGGCCCAATTTTAAAAAATATTAGTTTAATTGTGATGTGAGTGTAAACAGCTTTTAGAATTCAGGAATCTTCTTGTAACACCCATTAGTGTTACTCAGTGGGAGTCCTGTTGGCATTTTGGTAGGACTGTTGTGTTGTGTTCTGAACTGTCCTGGCTATTGCTGGATGTTTTCCATACCTGGCTACCGCCCACTAAGTGCCGGTAGCATGTGCTAGTCAATGTGACAGCCAAAATTGGCCTTAGAAATTTCTAAAAGGGAGAACCATTGACTTTACTATAATTTCAGGATATAAAGAACGGAGTCCTTCATGTAAGCCTCTCTAGATCTTTTGATATGTAGAAAATCTGTGCTTCCAGATAAAGAATAATTGATATGGGCCAATTTTGTTTCTTGAAGATACCTAAGAAATTTCTCAGTGACAGGCCTATGAAACATTGACAAGAGTTGCTTCAGGCAGCTGGTATTTACTGAGCTTCTTTTGAGGAATATGAAACAAAGGATTAATTGTATTTTCTAAATGTGCTGGTACCTTTTAAATAAGTATCTGTGACTTGAGGCATGTTCTTTTATGGCAATTGATGATAAAACTAAAAACTTTTTTTATTTGTCGAAAGAACTTTATTAGACATGTAATAAACATTTACCGACTTGTAACATTTCCCCTAAAGTAAGTTAGGACTTGGGGCACCCGGGTGGCTCAGTTGGTTGGGAGTCTGACTTTTGATTTCGGCTCAGGTCATGATCTCACGGTTAGTGAGTTCAAGCCCTGTGTCAGGCTCTGCGCTGATGCTGCGGAACCTGCTTGGGATTCTCTCTCTGCCCCTCCCCCACTTGTGTGTGCATGCACTCTCTCTCAAATAAATAAACTTTAAAAAATAAATAAAATAAGTTAGGACAGAATTATCCATACAAATCTTAGAAGATAGCTTGGCTATCTTATTGAACTGATTTGTTTTAGGTGACCTTCTAACTGAAGAGGCAAATCCACTGTAAGTACAAGGTTAAGTTATATACATTAAATATATTAAAGCTAGAACAAGTAAAGCTCGTTCCTTTAGTGTTGGTATTTTAAACCCAGAAATTAATAAATTGCCACTAAACTTCATACTGTGTATAAAGCTCAAGTATTTTATAGGTTGAAGTCTCTTGCTTTCTGTTTTGTTCCTTGGGGCACTTTTCAACAGATTCCATTTAGTTCAGATTTCAGTTTATTTAAACAAGTAGTCATCATTACAAAACAAGACTGAAAAGTGAGATGTTGGTGATCATTTTATTCTGTATTAGTTGACTTGGGGAATCAGTACTTCACTGGGCATGTATCTTTATTTTGTAAAGTGATTTAACATAGTAATGTGAATGAAGTATGAGTTGTGTAATTGACCTATTTAGTGATGCTGAAAAATTATGCTGGAAGCTTTAATGTTACATTCTTTGTCAGCTTTTTTAGTGTTTTTGTAAAAGCAGCAATGGTATTGATGCTTATTTTTTTCCTAATATTTAAGTTCATATAATTTGGTGTTTAGAGGTGAAGTTTACATATGTTATTCCCATAGAAACCAAAGTAGAGCTCTGTTGCACTCTTGATTGAGGTTGTAGCTTTTAATTAATTCATTTAAGGATTATAACCAGGAATGCTATTTCCTCAGCAGGGAAGAACAATTAACCAGTTTATTAATTAGACCCCTGTTTATAGTTAGTTATAATTTTGAAATTTGTTTGAAATAAAGTCTTACGCTCTTAATATGAATATTAATTCTTATCGGCAAGGGATACTATTTCTGTGTTTAAGAACTGAGGTGCTGTAAATTTTTTTAATTTATTCATTTATTTTAAGAGAGAGAGAGAGAGAAAGCGAGTGAGCATGGGGAAGGGGCAGAGAGAGAGAGAATCCCAAGCAGGCTCCACTGTGTGGAACCCCACACAGGGCTTGAGCCCACGAACTACAAGGTCTTGACCTGTGCCGAAAACAAGATTAGGATGTTCAAATGACTGAGCCACCCAGGGGCCCCAGTTCTGTAAATATGTTTTTGCTGGGGAAGAGGATAGCCTTGCATAAAGTAACAAATATTCTTCTTAATGTAATAGAATGTTAAATCATTCTATTAAATGAAATTTTATTTTATTTTATTTATTTATTTATTTTTTCAACGTTTATTTATTTTGGGGACAGAGAGAGACAGAACATGAATGGGGGAGGGGCAGAGAGAGAGGGAGACACAGAATCGGAAACAGGCTCCAGGCTCCGAGCCATCAGCCCAGAGCCTGACGCGGGGCTCGAACTCACGGACCGCAAGATCGTGACCTGGCTGAAGTCGGACGCTTAACCGACTGCGCCACCCAGGCGCCCCTTAAATGAAATTTTAAATGTTCGTGTATTTTGGACATTTTTGTACTTTTATAAAATTTTATAATTTTACATTTATATGTAAAATACATTTATATATTTATAATTTATAACTTTTAATATTTTAGCTATTAAATCCCCATTTTATTTTATTTTATTATTTTTTTAATATGAAATTTATTGTCAAATTGGTTTCCATACTAAAGTCCCATTTTATAAAGCTTTAGTGCTTATTAAACTTACTGCCCTCATTTGGTAACATTAGCCATTTTATTGTTTCCAAATAATTTTACAAGTTCTGTAAGAATTACCAGAGACTTTGCTTAGGGAGAGCAAATTTGGAATGGTTAAGTCCAAATTTAAGAAGTTAATTCAGGAATTCCTGGGTGGCTCAGTTGAGTGTCCGACTCTTGATTTCAGCTCAGGTCATGATCCCAGGGTCATGGGAGCCCTGTGTGTCTTGCTCCACACTGAGTGTGGATCCTGCTTAAGATTCTCTCTCTCCCTCTGCCCCCTTCCCCGCTCACTCTCTCTCTCTCTAAAAGAAAAAAGGGGCGCCTGGGTGGCTCAGTCAGTTGGACGACTGTCTTCAGCTTTGGTCATGATCTCATGGTCTGTGGGTTTGAGCTCCGTGTTGGGCTCTGTGCTGACAGCTCAGAGCCTAAATCCTGCTTCAGATTCTGTGTCTCCCTCTCTCTCTTCTCCTCCCCTGCTTGCGTTCTATCAAAAATAAATAAACGTTAATAATAATAATAATAATAATAATAGAAAAGAAAAGAAAATTTTATTTGTTGCACAATAACATACTTGGGATTTCAGGACTTGGAATCAATACCAGTAATTGTTCATAGAGACTTTGTGCTTTAATTGTAGAAATAAACACTAGATTTAAGATATTTAGGTTAATTAAGAGTGTGGTTGGATAATTATATTTAAAAATTAGAGACCTGGCTAGACTATAGCAGGTTGCTTCTGTTTAATGTATAATTATTTCTTGCTTTTATATATTTTAGGTTGTTGCTCAAATGATGTGGTTGATGGACCATATTTTTAAGTATACAAACTTTGGAATTGTTTCTCTGATTCATGGAGACTTCTTTATAAGACAGGTAAGTAATGAGTATTCTTTTTTAACAGTGATAGCCTGATTAAACTGACAATTTATTATAAACATGGGCATAACAAGACCAATTATAATGGATAGAGCCAGTTACACTATCTTAGGGAGCTCTTCCTCCGAATCTTTGTTCTCTGAAACATTTATTTCAATCTGAATTTGAGTATGCTCAAGCAGTGAAATGGTGACATTGCAAATACTTTAATCTCTATCCTCCTCCTCCTATCTAAACAGTGCAATGCTTAGTAACGATTTATCAAGCACCCGCCACATTCCCAGCTCTTCTGCTTCTTAGCCATGTGAATCAGGCAAGTTATTTAAATTTCCAGTTTCCTCATTTTTCAGATGAGAATAATAGGTACTCCCCTCATTGGGTGGGTGTGGGGGTTAAATTAAGTATACACTCAGAACAGTGCCTGCCCCCTTCGTTGTCATTTTCATCACAATTACCCCTATCATCATCTGTATTTTCACTATTACTTTTATTTACAAGTCATTGTTCTATGATATAGAAGGTATCTAAATTACCAGTAGGTAGGTAGGGTAGGTAGGTAGGTAGGTAAGTAGGTAGACAGGTAGGTAGGTAGGTAGATAGATAGATAGATAGATAGATTGATAGATAAATATATATATTTTGGTGACTCGTAGTAGGAAAAGTGAATCCATCAGCTTTTTATGAATACGGAAAATATTTATTTATTTATGTTTTTGAATCCAGAAAAACTGTAGAGTAGAAGATGATATTTGGTACAAATGTAGAGAATGAATATGGGTTTGTTAGAGAAAGGTAGATTGAGAGTGGGTCTGAAGCATTAGGGATAGTTCACTGTATAAGAAAGAATCCTACCTTCTTATCCAGTCAGCACTACATGATAGTATCTCCCTGTATGCTAAGGATCACACGCTTTATTTTCTCAAAAACTGAAATACGATATGCAGGAGTTTTTATGTATGGTAATGCTTCACTGTTCTGGTATTTATATATTTAGCAGCTTCAGCCTTGCACATAATAATTACTTATTGAATAACTGATGAATCTAATTAAGCCTCATATGAGAACCACAAATTCTGGAAACCTTCTGGAAAACCACAAAGCTGGAAGTATGTAGAAAAACTTCTAAGCTCTGTGAATGTAGGTGTGAGAAAACACATATACTTTACTCCAGACAATTTTATGTACAGAACATTTTTGTTTTTCATATGCTGTGCAATTATCTGGTTTCTTCTGGAAACACTCTTGGTGCTTCTGAGCAGAGAGATGAATAAAAGCACACGCTGGAGCCTTTCTGCAATTTCCCCTCCTACCTCTGTCTTCCTCACTCTTCACTCATCAGCCACACTGGCCTTGGAACTGTTCTTTGAACATGCAGAGCTCCTTCCCATCTCAGGGCCTTTGTCCTGTTTGCTCTTGTCACCTAGAAGACTCTGCCTCTCCTCTCCACTTGACTGGGACCCTCACATCACTAGCTCCTTGCTCCAGTTTCGCCTCCTTGGGGCTGCTGACCCTGACCTTATCGACCTTCTCTATCCTCTTACTCTTTTTATTCCTAACACATCACCAACTGAGTTTACACTTTGTAGTTCTCTGTCGTTTCCGTTTGAGTCAGTTCCGTGAGGGTCTCTCATTACCTCTCTATCTCCAGTGTGTGGGACAGTACAGTGCCTGCTGAGCAGTAGGGGCTCTGTAAATAGTCACTGATCTGATGAATGAGTGAACTCTCAGGAGCAAGTAGAGCAGTGTTTTTCTTTTGGAGTGCTAACGTAATATAAGCGCTAATCACTTGATTTTACCACTGTGGTCAGAAGGGGAGGGAAGGAGGGGGGACATCACTATACTTTAGAAACTGTTGTTTCTATTTAATTTTATGGCATCTTAATTTCCAATGTGTATCTACTTATTCTATATGTATCTGCCTTCATAGGGAAAATCACATCGTGACCAGCAGCTTCTTCTTCTCAAAAAGCACCTAGAAAATAACTATAGGAGCAGAGATCGAAAATGGATTGTTTTGTTTCCAGAAGGGGGCTTCCTCAGGAAGAGGCGAGAAACAAGTCAAGCATTTGCCAAGAAAAATAACTTGCCATTTCTTACACATGTCACTCTGCCAAGGATCGGGGCAACAAACATTATTTTGAGTGCACTTGTAGCACGACAGGAAAATGGAAGTCCATCAGAAGGAGATGCTAAAGAATTAGGTATGATGGTTTTTAGCATTTTTTTTCTTTTGTTGGAACTCAGGGATTATCTGGAGTTCCAGAAGATAACATTATTGTTCTTTTTTATAATTTTTATCAAATAGAAATAATACTCAAGGAGAAGATGAAAATGTAATGTTTTAATGTTTCTATTTACAGAATTCATGCTTATAATCATTTATTCACATAACCCAGAAATGCATAAAGTCAAAGGTGTCTTTCCTTACACTGCTTACCCATGCTTCTAGTCATTCCCACTTCTGCAGTAAACATTCATATAAATATCTTTACATATTTGTGGAAGTCTGTAGTATAGATTCCTAGAATGGAATTGCTAGGGCAAAGGTACAGGAATAGAAATGACTGATTTGAAAATCTAATGATAGATACACAAATGGAAATAGTAATAATGTATATTTCGTTCACTTATCAAATGTAGAAAGTTTTGAGGGTTTGTTTTTAAGAGTATGAACTTAATGCAGTTTCACAATGTTTATGAAGAGCCTTCAAATGACTCCCATCATTCCACTACAAATAATACTTATCAAAAGGAAATAATCTGAAATACTGGCAAAAGGGTTTATCCCAGCATTATTTTTATATATTTATTTTTAATTTTTAATTTTTTCTCAGCATTATTTTTAATAGCAAAAAATTGGAAATAGAGGGGAGAACAGAGAAGTAATATCAAATATCCAACCAACACAATATAACCACACGGCCATTACAAATGATGTATACAGAGGGGTTTTATGGCTTTGGAAAAGGCTCATGCTGTATCATGTTAATGGAGTGCAAGGGACATACAACTCTAGTGAAACTGTTATGAGCTCAAATGTGTGAAATGTAGGAGATGAGCTCAAGGAGAGATTCCAGATGTTATCAGTGATTGCTTCTCAGAGCTATAACTTTATGGATGATTTTCCCCCATTTCTTAATACTTTTCTGAAATTAAAATTTTAAGGTTTATTTATTTTTGAGAGAGAGACAGAGAGAGCAGGGGAGGGGCAGAGAGAGAGTGGGACAGAGGATCTGAAGCTGGTTCCGTGCTGATGGTGGAGGGTCCAACTCAGGAACCCTGAGATCATGATCTGAGCCTAAGTCTGACGCTCACCCGACTGAGCCACCCAGGCACCCCCTGAATTTTTTTTATAATGAGTATGTATTACTTTTATGGCCAGGAAAATGCAAACCACACTCAAAGATGCAACTGTCTTGGAGATAGCCTGGTGCATTGTGAAGGTTTGCAGAAGGTATTTGTGCCAGTAACACGAAGACTGTTTTGAACAAGTTTATCTGAGATACTGTGAAATTTGGTGACAAATGATAAATTAAAAAACTGAAAGAAACTCACCAGGCCTGTTTCCTCAGTAGTGTTTTACTGTTTAAAAAATATATTCTTCAGATAAAATAAAAATAGAAATGATAGACCCTCAGAAATATGTGTTTTTAAATGAGGGTTAGGACCAGACATAGAGATAATGCCTGTAAGATTGCACTGAGTTTTCCATTCATGTGTTTTTTTAAGCAGCTGCTTGGCAGTCAGCTCTCTTAATCTTTCATCATCTATTAAAAAGACAAATTGAAATAATCTTTTAATAGAAAAGGAAAGTTCAGAATAGCTTCAGACAGCCACTGTGGCAATGTCAGCCAAGCCAAGGCTTGAAGGCAAAGGTCTTCCAAATAGAATTAGTTGCACTAATAAAGACTGCTGTTTTGCAATAGTTTTCTCCAGTCAATAATACCCTGTGGTGTCTAGATCTCAAAGGTAGGGGCAACTGTCATATTGATCACACAATAGTGAAGAAATTTTTTTTTCTTTTGGAGAGAAACAATTTCTTTTTATAACCAAAGCAAAGTAGTTTATAATTTATATTACCTTAGTTAAAATTTTTATTCTAGATGTTTAGGAAAAATAAGAAATTCTAGAAAGTTATATACCCTAAAACTACTTTTACTTGTATTTTACCATTTTCTTCTCTATGTTTTGGTATTTTGTGTCTTATTTTCTTTAGTATTCATATTCACTGTTTAGTGTTCCATATAAACACAAAACAGGCCTTTGTATCTGTTTTAATATGTGATCCATACACATATCAAAATTAAGTTGTGTCTGATTAAGGGTTAGTATTTTTTTGTTTATTGTGTGATTTAATATATATTAAACTGAACTCTGATGATTTTCCCAACCATTTTGGTATAAAACTTTTTAAGCATCCATAAAAGCTGATGTTGTAGTTAATATCACTAGCTGAGTGCTCGCTTCGGCAGCACATATACCACTAGCTGGCCAAATAGTTTCTATAATTAACATTTTGCTATATTGACTTTATCCTGTCTTTTTCTACCTTTCTATCCATCCATTAGTCCATCTTCTTTTTTTTAATGCACTCAAAGTAAGTTACAGACATCAGTATATACTTTACTCCTAATCATTTCAGCATGTACATCATTGGTAACTTGTTAAAATGTGTTTCCTTACATAAATACTCTGTTCCTTTACCAATAGGTTACTTAAACATTATTATTATTTTACCTAATTTTTGTTTAAACCCTTTTTTTGATAGTTTATTTTTTGAAAAAGAGGGAGGGAGAGCATGAGCACAGAAGGGGCAGAAAAGAGAGGGAGAGAGAGAATCCCAATCAGGCCCTATGCTCAGAGTGGAGCCCAACGTGGGCCTTGATCTCATGACCATGAGATTATAACCTGACCTGAAATCAAGAATTGGATTCTCAACCAATGGAGCCACCCAGGCGCCCTTTCTTTTCTTTCTTTTCTTTTTTTTAAATCTATTTTTATGGGAATTTTTCCCCTTCAGAATATTATCAAAAAAATTTTTTAACTCAAAGGTCAGCTTTTAGCTATTTGATATACACAAGTAAAATATCATTAATTCTTACTGCACATTTAGTCTTATGTTTAAGTTTTATTTTTTTAGAGATCTCTTAAATACTTCAAACAAAGGACAGACTATCACACAAGTCTGGCTATCTGTACTCTCTGGGAAGATTCATCTCTCAATTCTTGCTCTAACTCCATGCTGGGAATAAAAGCAGCATGCAGAGGACCAAAGTGAACAGAACTTTCTTACTGCCTCTCACAATAGCAGTTACCTGTTGTACCTACCAAAGGGTGGACAGTTTTATTGCTTTATTTGTATAGAACTCCTGCTAAAATGGGAGGAGTTTGTGTTAAATAAAAACAGCAACTGACAATCGTGTGACACTAAAATGCTTAATTTGGGACCTTATTCCAGTATTTATTAATTTTTTTTTTTACTTTTTTTTTTTTTTTACTTTTGTGGTGTGATACCTTAGCTTCTGACTTTTTGATAGGCCAGTTCTTATGACTGATAAAATATAAATTAGACTTTGATAGTAATTGTATTGAATGCTTGAATGGTGCATGTCCATAGTGCTCTGTTATTTGTTAATTTGTTTGAGATTCAGCCATTTTATAATATATTAGGAAATGCTTGGTTTCATCCTAAATGAAGATGATACACTAAATGATACATCCTTATATCATATAAAACAGTAACAACCAAAGTTCATCTGTTTTCTTAAAGCAAAAGATACATCAATATGCTTTATTTATACTATATTATTTGCTGTAAATAATGTAAAAATTGATCCAATTTTAAGTGTTTTTTGTTTTTGTTTTTGTTTTGTTTTTTTTGCTTTGTCCTCAGAGAGCAAGTCAAAAGGCCTCCAGTGGATAATAGATACAACTATAGCTTATCCCAAAGCTGAACCCATAGATATTCAAACCTGGATCCTTGGATACAGGAAACCAACAGTCACACATGTACATTACAGGTAAGAGTTTTGTGTTAGTACTCAGCATATATCCAGCTTAAAGTATTGTCTCAAGCAGTGTTTTAAAATTAAATTTTTAGGGGCGCCTGGGTGGTGCAGTTGGTTAAGCGTCCGACTTCAGCCAGGTCACGATCTCACGGTCCGTGAGTTCGAGCCCCGCGTCGGGCTCTGGGCTGATGGCTCGGAGCCTGGAGCCTGTTTCCGATTCTGTGTCTCCCTCTCTCTCTGCCCCTCCCCCGTTCATGCTCTGTCTCTCTCTGTCCCAAAAATAAATAAACGTTGAAAAAAAAAATTAAAAAAAATAAATAAATAAACTAAAATTAAATTAAATTTTTAATCAATAGTGCAAATAGTTGGCTCAAAATCATTCTTATGCTGAATTTTTAATATGAAAATATCATTTGAAGTAGTTATTTTCACTGAGTGATAAAAGTCTCTCAAAATGGTATTCTAGAGGCAACTATGATTACTTGATGGCCTGACACTCTGAGCAAGGGTGATTAAGGGCAAACATCAAACATAAATATATACTCATTTGGGCAAAGTAGATTTGTATGAATAGAAATGAAATTTGTTTTTAAGTCATTAAATCACATAAGATTTTCCAAATGATTAAATTGAGAATTTAGCTGAAACTTATACTTTAAAATTTTTAGTATTTTATTTAACATTTTAACATGTTCATTTGCATAAACAACAGCAAAAACATTTATTGAATATTGCAGCTTCTTGAGATTTTTAAAAGTAGATTGCTTTTTAAAAAAGAGTATCATGTAAATGTGTGTAGGTATTTATATCAAAGCATGATGCTGATGAGACTTGGATAGATTTGACCGCTTTATAAGCCATTTATCTTTACTGTATTTCCTGGCCAAAGATCTCACTCAACCCATGGCAGCTAAGCTAGAAACTGAGCAGTTGGTCCACTGAAAGATCACAATTGCCACAAAAGCCCTCAATTCAAGCGGAAAACTACTCAAATTACATACTCACTGCAAGTAGATAGGTACATGTTTTCATATATATAAACCATCATAATTTTACACATAGAAGTACAAATTTGGAATAATTTGAAACTAAAATTTTAAAACTTAAAATTAAATGTTACAATTTGAGTTTTTGGTGTGTAAGAGAGGACTATAAAATTACAGTTGAGTCCACTGTGTGACTTACGTTGCCAAATTATGAAGTTCATGTGTAAGATAAGAAGTAATTCTTGAGAACTGTACTGACTACATTTCACATGTGTTGTCCACTTTACTTACGGAGCACTTACTATATATAAGGCAGTGTGCCAGGCCCTGAAAGAATTTCTCCAGGAACGGTTTTATTTTCATATAGAAGAGGCTTATCTAGCCTTCAATAAACTTTTAAATTGTAATCTATAAATGAAGCTCAATTCTGATGCCCAAGCAAAAACACATGACTGTTGGGTGTATGTTCTGGACATGTGTAGATTGTATTTGAGTCAGATATATGTAGATCTTCCTAGCACATCATACCCAAAAGGAACTGAGACAAGGAAGAAATATTAATTACAGAGGCATTCTATTATAGTTCACCCTGCTTTCTTTTTTAACCAATAAGTAGAAAACAATTTTATTTTATGGATTAAAAAATGAATGGAATAATAAGGGATCTTAGAAATTCAAGAAATATCAATTTTTAGCAAAATTTTTTACCAGAAGTAAGTGCAAGGTCCTTAAATTCACTTGAAGCAGGAGTTCTTAACTGTGGGTCTCATGGATGAACCTGAGAATTTTTCTTTTTTGCCTTCAAAATCAGATGTTGTTTTAATTTTTTGTATTTATTTATTTTGAGAGAGAGAGACAGTTAGATCAAGTGAGGGGGGAGGGGCAGAGAGAGGGGGAGAGAGAGAATTCCCAGCAGGCTCCACACTGTCAGCACAGAGCCTGACGCAGGGCTCAAACTCGAACTGTGAGTTCATGACCTAAGCTGAAACCAAAATTTGGACACCCAACCAATTGAGTCACCCAGACGCCCTAGATGTTGTTTGAATTAAAAAAATTTTTTTGAGTATACTTGACAGACATACAGTGTTACATTAGCTTCCGGTATATACCATGGTGATCCAGCTTCTCTCTACATTATCCTCACCACAAGTGCAGCTACCATCTGACCTCAGATAATTTTGAATTTTTCAACTCCTTCTCTATACAAAATGTTCTAGATGTATGCAGTTTTCTGCAGAGAAGCTTCACAGATTTCAATCTAGTCTCAATATAGATTAAGGGTTTAAAAAAAGATTAATGACCCCTGATTTAGAGATCAAAACCAAATAGTAAATAGAAGAGGTGGGATGGTTAGTTTGATACAGAAAAATACTTCTGTTGATAAAAGTGAAGCTTCTCAGAAGTATATTTGACTATAGAAATTTTATTACCGACATAGAAATAATAAAAAAAATTCTAAAATATTAGATTAGCAGAGATGAAATCATGATACAGAACCATATCCTGAAATAGTAATTACAATACACATCATGCCCAGTTATTTATTTATACACACACACACACACACACACACACACACACACACAAACACACCCCCTAGGAGTCTCGTGACAGGTAAAGAGATATACTGTTGGGTTTTTTTTTTTTTATGTTTATTTATATTTGAGAGAGAGAGAGAGACAGTATGCGAGCTGGAGGGGGGCAGAGAGAAATGGAGACAAAATCTGGAGCAGGCTTTGAGCTATCCGCACATGACCACACTGTCAGCACAGAGCCAGACATGGGGCTAAAACTCACGAACTGTGAGATCATGACCTGAGCCAAAGTCAGATGCTTAACCAACCGAGCCACCCAGACACCCTGAGAGATACACTGTTCTTTACAGAAATTTAATAAAAAAAATTTATTGTCTAACCAGTGTTAGGAAAAGGGAAGGACTTAAGTTCAGATGGGAAAGAGAGGGGAAGTGAAAGGGGCGAGAAAGAGTGAGGTGTCTTGGCATCAGGATAGTTTTGAGATTTGCAAGAAGCTTGTGAGAAGGGATGTGGGCCATGTCTGTGGCAGCTGCCAGGGACAAATCTCTATCACCCACGGGTTGACTAGGTCTCCGCCTGTATTGTTCGAGGCCATCTGGACACCCTGGGAGATAGGGAAAGAAAGATTGGTTTTTTGTTTTGGTTGGGGTTTTGGGGGGGAGTTGTCCCCCCCGCCTCCAGTTTTCTCAATTCTAAAATAAACTGTTTATTGTTTATCATGGAGTTTTCCTGGCGGGAATAGCACCATAGAAATTAAAATAAATTTAAACAAACATGGTACTCCTTACTCATTTTTTTTTTCCTGTTCTCAGAAAGATTGGTTTTTGTTCCAGCACTCCAGTTGTTTGGTTATATTTTAAAAGTTTTAAACAAGGATGAGATGTTTCCAGTTAGAATAAGAGACTTAAAATGCGACATTGGAAATCACGTATATACAAATGTGAATAGTGTAAATAACTGAGGTTAAATCTTTCTCTTTTACTGTGGGGTGGTTGGCAAGAAAAACTAAACAGCGCTGACTACTTAAAGCAGGGAACAGGTGCCTTGAGAGATGGAAAAGGTGCTCAGGAAACTGTATAGGCAGATTTTAAAATTATTAGTGAATGTACTTTTTCCCTGAAATTTAGCATAATTTTTCCAGAACTTTTCTATTAAGCCATATGTACAAGCCAATTTTGTTTCGTATCATTTAGAAAGTATTTATTTTCTTCCTAGCTCCAGCTGACTTTTTCTTTCAATAAAGCACCACATCAGTCTTAGAGAATTTAATTGAAATGATTACTTGAGATTATGGTGTCGCTGGGCAAGTTGGTACTGTTGCTAGTTTTTTTCAGTGTGATCTAGGGTATACATGTGAGAGTCAAAAATAATTATTCCATTCTGCTCAGCATTTATCAGATGCCACTTAGAGTACTGAGTGTATTTTAATTGCTCTATTTTAAAAGAAATAATACGGCTGGTAGAAAGTTATGAAAATACCTAATACTGTATATATAAATCCTACAACACGACTACCACTTAAAAGACCATTTTAGATCAAATCAAAGCAAATTTGGAGTTGGTAATAATTAAATGAAACATAATTCCAAGAGAAACTACCAGTTGAAAATATAAATAGGTTAAGGAAAACTTTAACCATCAGTAACCACTAAGTCTGTAATAAGTTTCTGTATTTATGAAGTACTTTTACCACATTTTAGGTATATTTCATGGAGGACAGCAACTGTCCTTTCCTGTGTGATACATCTGTGCCTCTGGGTGACTGGGGTAGTCTTAGAACACTGTAACATTCCTGACCATCAGAATTTACTTGTCATCATTGATTGTCATCACTTATTTAACATTAATCAGTAGTTGGGCCACTTTTTATTTCTTTGATACATTTCTTTTCTTGGAAATTATTATCAAGGCTGCCAGGTAAATTCTGCTGCCTCTTCTATACCTCATTGGAATATACAGGTGTAGGGAGATTTCTGAGCAAAAAAAGGCATTTTGGGGGTCGCATGGCTGGTTCAGTCAGAGGGGCACTTGCCTCCATCTCAGGGTCATGAGTTTGAGCCCCACGTTGATTTAGAGATTACTTAAGTAAATAAAACTTTTTTTTTTTTAACATTTGTTTATTTTTGAGACAGAGAGAGACAGAGCATGAGCAGGGGAGGGGCAGAGAGAGAGGGAGACACAGAATCTGAAACAGGCTCCAGGCTCTGGGCGGTCAGCACAGAGCCCGACGCGGGGCTTGAACTCACTGACCGCGAGATCATGACCTGAGCCGAAGTCGGCCGCTTAACTGACTGAGCCACCCAGGCACCCCAAAACTTTTTTTAAAAAAGGCATTTTCTCCTTCAGAGTGATTCCAGTCATAATGTATTAGTAAAACCAAATACTTAGAAAACATTTAGTCTTTATTTAAATAAGAAAAGACTATCTAGATTACCAGAATGTACAGCAGAACATTCTTCTAGGTTTTAAGTTTCTGTATTGATGCTTAGGA